ACCCGCTCCTTGTGCGTGCACGGGCACTAGAAGTGCATTTTCAAAATCAGAAGTAATTTTAAAGTTGCTGCTGAAGCTGGAGGCCGTGTGGGGAGAGTTTAGCAGACACAGCCGTGCCTGTTTTATTTAGGAACAAGCTCATTTCCCCGCAAGCGACCCGAGCCCAGCAGCCGTGCCCCACGCGCAGCCCAGGCACCCTCTGCCCTGCTCGGCTGCGCTTCTCACCACGCACGCGAACCAAGGAGCCCCGAGAACATTGAAAGCCCGGAAGTTTCCGCAGCAGATGGGACCCTAACGTGACAAATCGCCGGGGCTGCACCCGGGGATGGACAGAGCCTGGCGCGGGTGCACCCAGAGCTGCCCCGTGCCCACCGCCTCTCCCCAAGCACCCCTGGCCGGCTGCTGGGGATGCTCAAAAACTGCACCATCACTGACTCACAAATCTGCTTTCTCCAAACGACTGAAAAATAAAATCCCTGAGGACAAATGTGGCAATTTGCTGCTGGGTATCACTGGTGGTGTGAACCCACGGTCCAAGGCCCGGAGCCGACGCAGCCTCAGCGCCAGGCGCGTTTCTCCCCGGGCATGTTATTTCCCTGTTATTAACAGTAATAGATGTGCATCGGTAATGCGAACACAAAAACCATGTGACAGTTATGACAGCTCGTGGTCTGATATTTTAATTACTTTTTGCGATGAAAACAGTAATTCCACTTAAAAGCCAAGGGTGGAGGAATTCAACCGACGGCTGCTCAGCACCAGCGTGCAGCAGAGCCGGCAGGCCCAAGGCACCCACCCGTGGCTGGGTGCCGGACCGCTGGCTGCGTGCTGGGTATCACTGGTGGTGTGAACCCACGGTCCAAGGCCCGGAGCCGACGCAGCCTCAGCGCCAGGCGCGTTTCTCCCCGGGCATGTTATTTCCCTGTTATTAACAGTAATAGATGTGCATCGGTAATGCGAACACAAAAACCATGTGACAGTTATGACAGCTCGTGGTCTGATATTTTAATTACTTTTTGCGATGAAAACAGTAATTCCACTTAAAAGCCAAGGGTGGAGGAATTCAACCGACGGCTGCTCAGCACCAGCGTGCAGCAGAGCCGGCAGGCCCAAGGCCCCCACCCGAGGATGGGTGCCGGACCGCTGGCTGCGTCCCACGTGCGCACACCGCCTGCCCGAGCTTTACCTCTGTTTCCAACAGGTTTGCACGGAGTTGGTTTCTCCACCTGCACCACGTGAAATTCCTCCGCTGTTTGCAAGGAGCATCTCACCGCGGTGACCCGGTGAGGCGGCTCCCTGCCCCAGCCCAAGAAAAATCAGTGCAGCAGCTACGGAAAACACAGCAAAGAGGGGAAAACCAGAAAAGACGGAACACCAGCACCCAGGCAAAGCGCTAGGCAGGACTGCCCCCAGAATCCCTCTTTCTAAGGCCAAATACTGGCTGGCCGGTGGGTGCCCCGCGTCCCCAGCACCCAGCTGGCTCAGCCCCACCGCCGGCACCCACCCCACGCCGCCTTCTCAGGGGGGAATTTAATTTACC